CTCCGAGTGAAATTTACGGGTTTTGTCCGTGCATACATCGTTGGTAACTGTCAATAATTCTGACGAAGGGTGCTGCTTTGGTTCAGTTCGGTAAATTTGATATTAGTTTACTCACCAGTACCGTGGTTTCACACTGAATGTGACCGAGAGATTCTGTCCTCTGTATCGGGTTTGTGGTCAATTATCAAGGTAGGTTCGATGTCGTGTGCTGGCCACAGCGGAAACGGTAGGAATTCGTTATACACAACCCCCCGCCCCCTCTGCGTGCCTAAAACCAATTTGTCCAGACGCTTAAGCACCCCTGGCCCACCTCCCACACAGCCAATATTCTGAGTAGTCCCAACGATCGGATGACCTAACAATTATGTGATCACTGAGAATTCCGCACCCGGTCCGAAGAAGAAATTAGCCCCAGATGGCCTGTGATGTTAATTTTCCCTTTCACTGAAAATGAGCTTGTTCTCCAATTTGTCCTATTTGAAGTGTGCTGTGTGGGACTGTTTAGACAATTTTGTGCTATCAGGATTATTCTGGAATTTTGTGCTAGTTAAAAGTTTTCATTGAGCCTACTTGATTGATGTTAGTAGTGGTCACGTTTCGAGAATTCAGAGCCTAATGGATAAACGGGTGTTTTTTCTGAAATTTCTACTTCCGATTGAACTTTTCAATTGAGCAGTTCAAACTAGATTACTGTATCTCTCAACTTAACTTACTCTTAACATTATGATTATATGCTAACTTGATTTTAAGAGCACGACTGCGAAAGAAATATGCCACTTAAGTTTTTGAAATCTTACGCATTTCGCGATTTCACAAGGTTATTCTGAGTCACTGCTGACCATCATGAGAACATCGGTTTACTCGAGTGAGGAAAATTTTAGTTTGGTCCTCTTTCCTTCAAATGTATTAAGCAAATCATTATTCCTTTCACTCTCATTTCATATGGAACAACTCAAATACATTCCCTTCGAGTGAAGGATTCAATCAAGAAAATCGAAATGGCAATTAAGCTCACTTTATTTATCAAACATATACATATGCATACATAGTAGTACACCCACCTGCCAAGGTACGGTTTATCGACTGTATGAAAGAGCGTGAAGATTTCATCGATGTCAACACAATCCGGGCAGCTCAATATGTATTCTCCCTTCCCCTATTAGCGTCAATCTGTCCACTAAAACGGACGTCAACATTTTCAGCTCCATTTGAAACGGAATATTTCTTTCCTTGCAGACAGAATATTTTAAAATTCCTGTCCACTATCGTAAATAAAGAGGTCAGTGATGACTTCCCCGTTACAGACGCCTAATGGCACTGCGGGCTTAGAGCAACCTTTCGGTCTCCGTTTCTGCGATGGTTTTGTGAATAGGGCATAGGCCACATGTTCAGGAGACCTAACTGGGTTAGCCAGTGCTGGAGACTGGTTAAACTGCGCTGTAAAGTGCTCTGCCTAGCGTTTCACTCGTCCGCCTACACTTTTCTCGAACAGGTTTACTACAAATGGGCTGGAATGTAAGCATATATGCTTACAAAAGTTACAAATACAAATATAAATATTTGTTCCACTAATCTAACTGTCTTCTGGGGTTAGTGACACAAATGAGTAAGAACACCCACCAGACGTAGCAGCTGATTCCACATTCGTAGGATTCTCAAGCATCTCCTAAGCTTTCTGAGAAATCACGCCCAAAACAGGGTCACTGTTCAGTGTACGTGACTTTTACCGGAATCGCCTGAAGCGCGTCATGCAGTCTGAGAGAAGCAGAAGAAACCCAGTGTTGCACCACTCGGTAGATCAGTAAACGTTGGAGAAGAGTGATTTGTAGCGAAGGTAGACGATAATACTGCGCGTGTAGTGTTCGAGAAAATCGTGTTATTTGTAAACAAGACTTGAAGACTGATAGATGAGTGGTTATTTTGTGATCCCTTAACTACCCAGTAGCCCAGGCCGAAGCCACGGCCTGCTTGTAGTTTTTGGTTAACAGACCTAACCCACCAGCAGCAAAGTGGATCCGGGAGTCCATGATCGTATGGAACTCGCTGATCGGTAGACCACTTCATATGCCTTTCGCTGGCGGTCAATTATCCAGTGTGCCCAACTTACTCTTGGTCCGCGTGCTTGCCTGTAAGAATCGTGGTGATTAAGTTCACAAATGAAGTTTACTGCCCAGTGACGGGGTTGAATCGAATATTTGAGGTATTATGAGCATCGCACGCCAAATATGGGCGCTTTGAAATTGGCTTTTCAGCCAGATATCCTAAACTGTCGATCGGATGGAAAGCGACTTGAGTGGAAACATCGTCATGTACAATCAGCATTAATAACTTCCACGACAGAAGCCATTTAAGAAGCTAGGTCTTTTTCGAGCATTTACAGAGAATTTCCGATTGAGAGCCCGAGACACACTTCCGATCATACAAATGCGTCTAATTAGTCAAATACAGTCCAGCTACATAGGGCAGACAGACCTAATAGGATACGGGATACAGTGAGCAATGGAAATGGAAGGTCGCATCAGTGATCAACCTTCACTTCACCAATAAAGGAATTTCTGACAAATATTGGTCGATATGGTTTCGTACCACATTCAGTTACCAGTTGTGAAAGCCAACAGTTGAACTAAATGAACGTTTGTATTTTATTTTTGTTTATTGTGTATGCAAATGCTAGTCAGCTTTCAGAAAGGGGACCGCAACCATAGAAGGGTTGCCGGGGTAGATAGGGAATATGGTCGGTAGTAGAGGGTCTATAGAACTCATGACCTCTGGATCGCTATTTCGACGACGTTGACCACTTGATCACTTAAACATCCGGAGTTCTTACTGAAATACTTTAGGTTGCACAAATACGATCTTACCTGGTCCACATATAAAATGAAAATTCAATTGAGTATTTAGAAAATGGATGCCGAAGAATTTCTGTAACCTTTTACAAACGCGTCGTATATGGATGGTTTGACAGTAACTTACCAAGTGCTTTTTACTCATCCTGACTATTACCTGAAAACTTTAA